TGACCTTCTCACCCAGGCCGCGAGAAGCCTAGGTTCTAGTAATAAGTAACTCATACCCAGCAAAATCTCCGGCATGCCGGGCATGCCAAATTTCCTGGCATGCCCGGCATGCCAAATTCTCTGGCTTGCCGAGCGTGCCATAATCTGGGTCATGCCGGGCATGCCAAAATCGGTCTCTGGCATGCTCTCAACGCACAGGTTATAATTCAAATGTTCCCATGAATTTTGTCATGCCTAAATATATAAAATTTTCTCTCTCTCATTAATCCTCAGACTGAATGCAATTTTTACGCTCGCTAGGCATGTTCAACTGAAAATCATGCCCATACTCTCATTCAAAACAAAATGCTATCAAATTTTAGTTTCCAAGCCGTTACGTGCTGTGCAGGCGTCAATTTGACCCCATTTTGTAGCCTACAACATTCCCCTATGTCGGGTTTTCAGACGTAAGAGAATAGCAGCCCGGTCAGTTCTTAATTCTAAAATGCAAATTTAGTGAAAGTGTTTGGAATTAAGAACATTTTCAAATTCAAAAAAAGTAGGTAGACTTCGAGGATGGAAATCTTCACGTGAGGGAATATAAGAACAGGCGACAGGCAGTTTGTATTGAAATCTGTGACAATCTATTCAGTCAGGAGACTTAAGAAGGAATGGATGAAGAGATGAACAAGGAATTAAGGTCAAATAAGACAAAACTAATGTAAACTTATCCTTGCCTGTATTTTATCATTATAGGTGCCAATATTTAACAATCATGATTCTTTGAAATCGAGGTGAATAGTGGCTAAAATATTTGCCGAGCCACGAAGTGGCGTGGTAAATATTCCTAAAGCCACTATTTACCGAGATTGAAAAGAATAATTGTTTTAGTATGTACACACGAAGTTATCTCAACAAAATCAGAGAGGCAACCATTAAAAAGTACGATTTGATTGACAGATCAGGTCAGCTAGACACGCGACAGTTTAAAAATAAATCTTTGTAGAATTTTCAAACATGGCAATTCACAAGCTTATCAATTGCGCAAACAACAGCGTAAGGGCTTCAATGAAACCACTAAAAGTTTGAATTGTTTCCTTACCTGAGAAGAAAAGAAGAGCTTTGTTGTTTTCTGTTGACTCGCCAAGTTTACAGCCGAAAAGGTTTGTTGTGTTCTTCTTCGCATAAAGTGCTGACAAAAATGGCGATTCGGTTCCTCGAGGTAAGACGTCGTCTTCATGTAGCATTCTTTCTCGTGTTTACTTGAAACGTAGAATTTCTGCAAACATTTTCTTTCAAATTTGTTTGTCATAAATAAACTTCGTTGTTGGGCCAAAATTTTCTTGTTAGAAAACGCTGAGTTCACAAAACGGCCTCTTCTAGGCGAATAAACGGGAGATGTAAATAATCCATCGACCACAAAACTCAACAACAGTAAATGGAAAAACGCCGTTTTGAATCCTTCGAAGTCTTTTCTTGCCTGAAAAAAAGTCAACCCTAGGATTTTGTCGACTTTTAAAAGATCTTTCTCTAAGAAAATGGGAAAAAAACGAGCTCACACAGTCCACTCGCTAGGAGGTGAATA